ATTCACATCGTTCTATCCACTATCAACTACCATCAAACGGAAATCCTAGTATATGAGTACAACCTAAGGATTTGTTAGTAAGGCTCTTAGCAAGAGCTCACGCTCCGTCGTAGCTCTTCCTCGTGTCTCGAGGAGCGAACACGAACTGGTACGTTGCTAGGTCTCGAAGAGAACTCACCCAGCATTAAATCCCCGAGTGTTCTCTGTGTGGCTGACGATCACCAACCTTTGACAGTGGTGTTAACACCCATCGTTCTGTTCTCTTCTCCCGACACCGGCTCTTACTACCTAAGCCATGCCTTTCCTCTCTCGCTCATATCCGCGGCACATGCCCCCCACACCTCCCGAATACCTTCCGGCGTATGCTGCCACAGGGTCTGGAGGCATGCAAGTCAACCAGCTACCGCCATATAAAGCACACCCCGGTATGAGGATGCGCCATGACAAGCGTGGCTACGAGTACTTGGAACCTTACGACCAAGCTTCTGCATTTGCTCCTCCGCCTCCGATGATGTATCACCAGCCTCCGGCCTATCCTGGAGCTCCTGCACCCGGTATTGGACACCAGAACCACATGTATGGCGCACCAATAACTGCCCCGGTTCTTCCGCCGATTAGGATGCCAGACCGCTCGGTCTTGGACGAGGCGGCTACTCAGCATCAGCAGCATCACCAAGACCGGTTGCCAAGGCATGAGCAACCGAAAGAGGAGAAACCTGTCGGAGGCGTCTCTGCGAAGCTTGATTATGAGATGGATCAAATGTCGGAGTATGTGGCAGAAATGTCACAGGGAATGTATGCTCTCTATATGACCCGCATCTGTCTGGCAGATATTGACATCATCCGAAGTGTTCAACCTGGCTCTCCGGTACCGCCAGCGTTTCGGAAGTTTGTTTCGCAGATTTTGTCTTCTACTCGACTTCCGTGCGCTACCATTCTCTTAGGGTTGTACTATCTTAACACCCGAATTACCATGCTCTCCGCGAATGGACAATTCAGTCAACCCAACAAAGCTGGGAGTCAGGTTTATCGCATGCTCACGGTCTCGCTTCTTCTTGCAAGTAAATTCCTGGATGATAACACCTTCCAGAATCGCTCTTGGTCAGAAGTATCGTCGATCTCTGTCACCGAACTAAACACGTTGGAAATCGAATGGTTAGTGGCGATCAAGTGGAAGTTGATGCTCGGCCCAGAAGAACAAAAGGGCTTCACGGTTTGGCAGGATCACTGGGATGCGTGGAGAAATAGAGCCTCGTCCAAGGTTCCTATCGCACCGAAATTGGCTCCGCTTGACACTAGCATCCAGAGACAGCAGAGCAAGGTCTTTCCCTCGACTCCACTTTATCCATCGCATTATACCGGCGCGCCAGTATCAAGCATGAGCGTGGAGGCACAGCCCGCTCATCTGACTCCATCTTTGTTCGACCAGAGTGCTTGGTCCTATGCTCGATCAAATACGGAACGGTCACCACCATCAGCACCCGAGACCGGACCTAATACGCCCGAATACTTTGGGTGGTCACCCTACCACCTCCCGTCTCACGCCCCGCCTCAGTATTCGATGAGACCAGTTCCTGGATCCAGTCACTCATCTCATATCCCTTCCCAGCCACCTTCCTATCACCACACGCCATATGCGCAATATTATTCGCATCACTCCCCTTGGCATGGCGCTGGTTGTGGCTGTGCCTATTGTGGGAGGCCTAACGACTCGTACTTCATGGCTTCCGGTTTCGGACCTCAGACGGTTGTTGGTTAGCTTGAGGAGCGTCTCTTGATGACGTCTCACTTGTCTGAATGATCGAGCTCATGAGATGGTCTCTACTCTAGAAAAGTTTGTACCGACATTTTGGGAGTCAGCTTGTTTTCCCGGTTCCCTCTTTCTTTTTCTTCGCCAATACCTTAGAAAAGTCTTTCGCATGGTGATGGCGATCGTCTGTAATTGCTAGTCGCTTTTCCAGTTGCATACACCTTCTCTAGTCGCACTGCATGGAGGTCTTCAGATACCATGGGTTATATGGAGGAAGCTTGGGTCTTGCGGTTTCTCTTCAAGTCTTTATCTGGTTCCTTACGAGATGTCGATTTCCTGAGCATGCAGTCGTATTTCCAACCTTATTCCCCAGAGATCGAACCTTTTTTCCCTTTCACTCCGCGCCTACTGCTAATGTCTACATCACGGTTTCTTTCAATTTTGTATTCAGGGCTTGGGACGTCAAGTTTTTCTGTCCATCAAACTAGACTTTTTTTCTGCACATTACCCCAGGACTCTCTTTCTTTATTTTTTGTCTCCAGCGATGGCATGGTTCGGCTTTGGTGTTTCTTTTATTGCAATGCCTATGGTTTCTCTTTCTGGTTCTCTTGAGATGTTACATTGCCCCGATGATTGTGGCAATCACCCTGTCTCTCGTTGAACGAGGCCTTTTTGGCTCGGCAAGGCTAATTTTGTGAATGCTGGTGGCACTTGAACGAACTTTTTGTAATTAATCGGGGAGGGCTTGTTGGCTGCGCGGATGTTTATGCTGCGGGCAGTTGCTGGGTTTGATCCTGCCCTTTCCTCCACTTTGCTAGCTACTGGGCTAATCTTTTGCACTTTTTCACCCCTCTTTTTTTTTTAAATCTCGATGCAACAAGCGTCCATCTGCCTACCTGGTTGGTAGCCTTTCACGGCGGCAAAAAGGGTTTGTGCAAAAAGATCCGCCTAGTTAGTTAGGTTTGTGCAAATGTTCACCCTTTTCCCCTTCAAGATGGGCTTTCCCTTTTTTTTTTTCCTCACTTCCAATCAGACGTGGGGAGATTTTTCATATCCCGGTGGTGGAACACGGCAGTTATGAAAAGTTTTAAAGGGCTACTACAGATTTGGGGGTATTCAAATTCACAAAAGAAACGGGGAGCACCAGTTGGTGCCCATTGAAAACATTAGAATATGATGAAACCATGTCATGCTCTCAAGTGATTGATTTTTGGTGTGCATATCTGTTGGTGCACATCTTTGTCGTACCAAAGAGGCCAATCAATGCAACATGTCAATTCTATATTGATAGGATGTCTAATACATGGCACTATCAAGAGCTTCGATTAAATACACGTCTCCAATCTCAACACCAACTAACCCTCTTGCAGAAATTTACGGACTAAGCTGTCTGCTATATATCGCTCATGCAAAGGGCATTGCCATGGTCGGGTGGTGCCAAGGGAGGCATATTGTCTATTGTACTAGCTAGCTTCTAGCTCTAATATCGAATTAAATATAAAAGCCCATAATATCCTTACGCTTAGCCTGCACCTCCGCAATGGCATCGACGTAGTGCTCATGACCAATCTTCACATGTCCAGCCCTCAAAGCAATCATCCCCGCTTCAACACACACAGCCTTGAGCTGTGCGCCACCAAATTCGTCTGTCGACCTAGCGAGCTCCATCCAGTTGACAGCGTCGTCGACGGTCATCTTGCGAGAGTGGATACGTAAGATCTGCGCTCGTGCTTCCTCGTTCGGAAGAGGGAATTCGATTTTCCGGTCAAGACGACCACTTCGGAGAAGGGCGGGGTCGAGCACGTCGACACGGTTGGTAGCCGCGAGGACCTTGACGCGGTCGTCGGACGCAAAGCCATCGAGTTGGTTGAGGAGCTCCAGCATAGTACGTTGCACCTCGCGGTCGCCACTCTTCTCGCTGTCGAAGCGTTTGGTCCCGACGGCATCGAGCTCATCGATGAAGATGATGGCGGGGGCCTTCTCCTTGGCGAGTGCGAAAGCGTCGCGGACCAGTTTGGCGCCATCCCCTATGAACATTTGCACAAGTTGCGGGCCGGCAAGCTTGAGAAATGTAGCGTCGGTTTGAGCGGCACAGGCACGGGCGAGGAGAGTTTTGCCCGTGCCCGGGGGACCATACATGAGAGCACCTAGTTTGGGGAGTGGTTAGCGGTGGGCACGGAAATGCAAAATTGCGGCGATGAACCTTTTGGAGGCTTGATGCCAATCTTTTTGAATCTGTCCGCCTCCTTCATAGGCATCACAACCGCCTCGACTAGTTCTTCAATCTGCTTGTCAAGGCCGCCGACATCAGTATACTTTTCAGTTGGCTTCTCGTCCACCTCCATAGCTTTGACACGGCTGTCATACTCGGCCGGTAGGGTGTCTAGAACGAGATAGGAGTCCTTATTAAGTCCAATAAGGTCCGCAGGCTTGAGCTTGTCTGCATCCACGAGACCGATTATGGGGAGAAAGATAGTTTGACGAGTAGAGGTCTTGATGACAGCGGATTTGCCCACCCGTGTAGCGTCCAGGTCGATATTGGCACCTTCTTCTGCCGCCTCAGCGGTTGGGTCCATATCTAGGAGCTCAACAACATTACCCACAAGGTAAGGAAGTTGTCTGCGAAGATATTAGCTAAATATTGCAATCGATGTACTACTCCCCGGAGCCTTGTCAAATATGATCGTACCTATTATTTTCGATTTTCTCCATATTCTCCTTGGTCTTCTCCTGCATGGATGATTTCTCATGTGTTAACCGGTTATGCTCACCCTTCATGATTCTCAAATCATTCTCCAAAAGTCGCCTTCGATTGTTGATGTCTTGTGTACTGGCGTGCAGAATCTCAGGATCTATTAAGTCCTCATCCTTCTTCTCTTTCTTATTCATAATACCGGCATCCTTCATTTCAGCATCACCATTCTGATCAGGCTTCTTGCCACCATCATCCTTCTCTTCCTTTCCTTCACGCTCAAGGTCATCTAGGTCTTCTAGGGTAGACATTTTCAGCCGAAACGGAGAGACACCTGTAGAAAGAAAGACCCAAGACTTGGAAATTCTTAGTGGAAGTTACAAGATAGGAAGTATTCTGTTATTCCAAGTGAGACGATAATGCAAGAAAGTGTTAAACTTCTTGGATGTTGAGAGATGCGGCTCTGTGCGTGCGAGGTACTTTAAGATTTAAGCGAGCTCCAAGCACGAACCAAAATTATTCAAGTAGCGAATTACTTTTGAATATGATATATACATTGGGCGTGTAGCTCAGTGGTAGAGCGCCCGCTTTGCATTCACATGTGCGGGAGGCCCAGGGTTCGACTCCCTGCTCGTCCACTTTATTTTTATGTTTTTTGGGGCTTGAGTTGGTGATAATATAATAATAAAAAGCTCCACACTATTATTACTATTTTAACTAACATTCATCCCCCTGAACCAAAAAAAAGCTAATCCGATAATAGTAGGCTCTCCAACATTCAATGCTCTTGAACCTGCATGCGCATCTTCTCCAATCAAACCATTTCCCTTCCCCTTTTGTACGCCGTTAGAGCAGGAGCGAATAATAGGCTAGCAGGGTTTAGGTGGGCCCGGCCCTTTCAAATCCCCATTAAGAAATAGCATGTTTGAACGACATCCTCGCAAATCATATGCCCTGTTAAAACCGCATACTTACCGACTTAGTGAACCACTAAATACACCACAATAGCAATGTCGCTCATTAGGGGGTGCTTAGCTCGTAATCGAGCAAGGTGCTGGAGTGTTTGCATATCGTCACAGAGACCTAGGATGCTATCCCAAGTAAAGATAAAGCGGGTAGCATCCCATGAGAAGGTAAGCCACTACATCAATCAACCTTCACTTAACAATTATCTCTAGAGTGCCGCTGTAATTCAGTGTCATCAGGGCTGGAAGGATTGGAAAGGGCAAATAGCGTTTGATGGAAAGATGGTCACCCTACCGGGGCCGGTTAGGGCGTCTCAATTGTATATCCCCGAAGCACAGCCGTCACTCAAATATCCGTGAACCTTACTTACGAGAAGATTCGATCCGCTAGTCACAATATCTGGTTGAGGTAAGAATTCTGAGTAGGGTGTCTTTCGAATATGCTCAACTCAATGACGCTAGGGATCACTGTCAATGCAAAGAATGCTTCCACGAGGAGACCAGGCAGCGGCTGCTGGATATCTTAAGCGTATGTGATGTCTCAGGTATTACTTCTACTAGCTTGCATTATAACGTTCCGTCTGTAGATACCGAAAGACATTCAAGCAGAGGCTGTTGAGGCTCATAGGCGGGGGGTACAGATATTATGTATGACTTCCTCAAGCGGGGATTTGGATAATCAGAAGTTGATGAGAGCCAGGGAAAAACGACCATCACGAAAGTTTTTTCTCATGGGATTGGCTGCGACGGCATACGTATAAACCTAGATATTGGTTCCCGGAAACTCCAAAGTGATTATCTTCCCATGTCCATCAGCGATTGGCCTTTCCCGCACTAATGGTATAAGGTTCTCGCTATGGGGAAGGGAAATTGGTCAGAACCCTCCAACGGTGCAGTACAAAGATGTTATGGCATCAGACAAAGGAGTGGCGGAATGGACATCTAAAATTGTATGATTCTGCCCAAGTTTCGAGGTGTACTAAACCTGTGAATAGCGCGAATTTGGCTTTTGCTATGTGGATGGCTGTCCTGTGTCCCCAGAGAAGACACAAGAACTTCTAGAACGCATCGCATTCATCCGACCCACACACTATGGTTGAACCCCAAGAACCCCTAGTCGTCCTCCTTTGGTACTAATAGAATTCTTAGGTGGCTTCTATGATTTTACGGCCGACCTTTCATCGAAGGACACTGCATATACGTCCCTCGCTTTGCAAGCTCACACTGACACAACATATTTTTCAGACCCTGCAGGCCTCCAGATGTTCCACCTCTTATCTCATACTGATGGCTCCGGCGGTGAATCGCTTCTCGTCGACGGCTTTGCCGCGGCCAAAATTTTGGAGAAAGAGGCGCCAAGCTCGTTCAAAGTTCTTAGCCAAAAACCAATTCGCACCCATTCCAGCGGGAATGAGGGAGTATCGATTGAGCCATTAATATTCGAACCAGTGTTCAAAAGCGCCGGTGAATCTCTATATCGTATAAGGTGGAATCCTAGTGACAGGGCGACTATGGACAGTTGGTTGGATGATAAGTCCCTGGAAGATTGGTACGAGGCGGCTTGGAGATGGAGCGAAATCTTACGAAGACCAAGTGTGGAGTACTGGGAGCAGCTCCGGCCGGGGAGACCACTAGGTGCGTTTACCTAGACCCCACCAAGCATTCCTAACGATCTGCCAGTCTTCGACAATTGGCGAGTTTTGCATGGTCGTTCGGCCTTCGCCGGTAAAAGGAGAATATGCGGAGGTTATAGTATGTTTTGATACAGCTCCAAAAATGGTCCAGATGTCTACATGCTAAATTGACGCCCACCGATTTAGTTAATTATGATGACTTCTTATCGAGACACCGAATGACGAATCTTGGTCGCGAAGTTGTTTTGAGACGTCTATAGTTATCTAGTTATCACCTTTTGGCCATAAATTGAATGAAACGAATCATCGTAATCGGCCTCTTGTTTGCCTACAAGGTCCCGTTTGTAGATTTCTCACCAATGCAAAGTGAAAATTTCGTTGTTCTGAGAGACCTTCACCACGACGTTCTATGGACGGTGCTTCGTCATTTTTCTAGGAGCCTTTCAAGGCATGGCTCGAATTGGTACAATGGGATGCCTGCACCATTTGGGTTTTGGCCTATTGTCTCGCGAAGAAACCAAGTTGGTATGCCGAATTGGATCGTTAGGCTCGTTTGTCTCACTCGTTTACAGTACCTTCTATTGTGCTTCTCAAGCGGCGTTAACAGGATATCGCACCGCCATTGAACGATCCAACTGACATTCACTCTGGAATACATCTATTGTTTAAATAATTGAGCAGCCAAAACCATAACATCACGCTAATGACAATTCTCGAAAGACTTCCGTCTCCCCATCCTTCGCTGCCGGCTCGGCCTCCTCCTAGTTGTAACGGTTCTTCTTTAAACGGATCTCTTCATCAACTTAGCGCACGCATACCCGGCCATTCTTCCCAGATCACAGCGTCTGGTTCAAGCTCACCTTTATCATATTCCAATTTGAAACCGCCACCTCCTGCTCCCGACCCACCATCTCTTGATAGTCCCTCCTCTCGCCATCAAAGCAGGATGCCTCCCGCCTCATCGAACTCCGCACCTGCCACTGTTGGATCTCAATGGCTCTTCAGCGAGGAGGAGTTGTCCCAGACACCTTCTATGCTCGATGGCATGTCTGCAGAACAAGAACGAGAGAACCGAAGCAAGGGCGTTAACTTCATCACGCAAGTAGGAATCATGTTGAAGCTACCTCAGCTGACACTAGCAACGGCGAGCGTGTTTCTACATAGATTCTACATGCGGTATTCGATGGTGGAAAAAGAAGGAAGGCCTACATTTCATTACTATGTCCGTCAACCTGAACCCGAATTACCCATTTTTTCGAGTCAGTTCGAAATTTACTAACCACACCGCCCCTACAGGCTATCGCTGCCACAGCACTTTTCCTTGCAACTAAGGTAGAAGAAAATTGCCGGAAGATGAAGGAACTAGTCATTGCCTGTTGCCGTGTCGCTCAGAAAAACACGAATTTGATAGTTGACGAACAGGCGAAGGAATTCTGGAGATGGAAAGATACCATATTACTTAATGAAGAGATACTTCTTGAAGCCATGTGCTTTGACCTATCTCTGGAGCCGCCATACCATACGCTTTTCCAGTTTCTAGTGCTATTCCACGAACAAAACAATAAGAAGCTGCGGAATTCGGCTTGGGCTTTCCTCAACGACAGCCATCTGACAATGCTCTGCTTACTTTTTCCGTCGAGGACGATTGCCGCTGCTGCTCTATATTGTGCCGCTAAGCACTGTGAGGTCGCGTTTCCAGACCAAGGTGGCCGGGCGTGGTGGGATGTGGTTAGGGTGGAACTAAAGGACATAAAAAAGGCATGCAACTATATGGCCACCGTGTACGAGCTCAGTCCCCTCAAACACTCGGAGAATATTTATGCTCGAACGCCAGAAGACACGGACCCTTTGTCTAACAGGACCAGAGCTCAGCAGTCCCCCACAGCTGAGCCAGAGCCACCGACCCCTCACCTCAACCATAACAACAGTCTCGAAGGGTCATCAATGTCTATATCTGGCAGCGATGAAGGGCGTCGAGATCGCGATGCTCAAAAATCGGCAAAGAGGGCCAGAGAAGGGAGTGTGCAGAGCGAGAAATCGCACCCTGGCCATCCAAGTAGTAACGATACTCTAGCACGATCTCATAAAGAGGCGGGAGGAAACGGTGACATACCATGGGGTGGCCGAACTCCGGATGAACCTGAAAGAAAGAGACAAAAGACTGTGGAGCTGAATAATACCCAGGAGGCTGCTCCGGAGAGAAAACCCGAGAATGGAGTTGAGAAGGTGAAGGATGAAGAGCTGAGCGAAGAAGGCGAGGTTGTTTGAACCTTGAATGCAACCGAGATCTCCTACATAGGGCCTGCAATGAATGTTTGGTTTGGGTTTCTGTATGGCACTCGGGGTAATGAAACCCGGATATAGAAGCGACCTCAACGCGGGTCATTGACAGACCCAACTGCAGTCCGATCCGGTCATAATAATATGGTCGGGCCAGCGGCAGACATTATTATACCGAAGCGTCTCATACCTCACTGTTGCGTTCTTGGGGAGAATTTCAGGCCAATTTCCCACTATCACGTGATTACCAGTATTTATTTTCCGCAGCTTTTAGGGCTAGGACAAGTGAGGGGGGGGCTAAAAATTAGAGGCTGGCCAAAGCTCACCCCCAGATCACAACTCAGTGGCCTTTAGCTAGGTATTTCACTGCCCCGTTACAAGAATTTAGGCAGTAGCAAGTTAAGAATGTCCTTATAACGAGGTAGTGTCGCGCATGCCTCCAAGTTACTTTTGCACTTCTGTATTTAACGTGGGCGGGTGGGCTATATCACCGGAGCCCTCTCCCAGGGGTGGAGGAGACAAGGGGAGAATTTTTCGAGAAATTATAGTATATTATTGGCTGTAATCTGGCCCTGAGGCGTAAATGTATGCAGGTGCCGATACACCCGGTACTCTTTTAGGGGCCTAGCTCCTGAAAGGAGATGCGACAACAGGTCTAAAGAGATTAATTTTTAGAAACCAAGTGATGTTCATTCCCGTGCTTAAATGATTTTCCGGACCACCCATAGATCTCAGACATGGAAATAAAAGGAAGAGATG